TTCCCTTCCAAGACAGTGACAGCTTTCGCTTTCACCGAATACATGCTGTATTCTTGCAAGTTGTTTACTTCAACGCAAAGATTTGAAGACGTTGTTTGTTCTGGAGTTGGCTGACCACTGGCCGAGTTATTAAGGAGAAGGTACTCTAAAATATATTCCCTAATAATACCTGAAAACAAGCCAGAACAGTTTATTGTTTTGTAATGATATCAAGTACGGATTCAGAAAGGGTCTATTTTTCCACCCCTCCTCCCTACAATACAAGAAATATTAGAAAGAATATTACATTTGACTATTTTTCTATTTTTGTGTCTGGTAACGAGAGTCAGTATGCTACCCATCTCGCCACACGTCTGTGATCCCATGCTTTATGATCCCGACAATGACTACATGCGATTGCAGAAGTGAAACAGTAAAGCCTAKTGTRATTAGGACTGTTCAATAGATGAAGTCTTACCTTGTTTCTGAAGCATTGGCATGTCATCCCAACAGACCTCCATGCTACGGGATGTTTTAGGTGTACATCTTAGGTTCGGCGGTGCAACCAAAGGAGCTTGAGGAAGAAAATCAATAGAAGTAGTTTTAAGGGATCGACATTATTAATCAAGAATCTCATTTGTGCTTTATTCTATGGTAACTGATCACTTACCTCCTTCTTGCGTCATACACTCCAATATTTCACTATAAATACTAGATCCTTTAGAATTAAATCCACTAGCTTTGAAGTGATGCATTCGAAAAGGTTTAAGTTCTTTAAAGGTCGCATTCAGACCGCATGTCAAGATAGTTCCAACACAATTGGTGTTAGAATCAGTATTGTTTGTGTCGTTTCCTGTAACTTCATAACCCTTGATAATACCATTAGCCATAGTCGCGTTAATAGCAGACCATGATATCGTACAACTAATATTGGACTGTTCTAGTACTTTCAGGTCTGAGGGAGGACCATCAGGAACTGTAAAACACATAGCAATCATTAGTACAGTGTCTTATCATCAAATCATACTACCAACTGTACTTCCACCTTCCCACCCGGCACCCAATCGGACCCTCCTGCCCATTAATCCCATCCATTTAATAATATACTAGTTAATCTATTTGATACTTACCATCTTCGCAAGTAAAGGCCGATATGTTTGCATAGGTGCTGTAATTTCCTGCCCCTTTACTTGTAAATGCGTTAATGGATAAGTTATATTCTGTGTACTTCTCCAATTGAGTGATTTCAGCCTGAAGAGTAGACTCTCCATAAACAGTGATATGTTTTGAATTAGACGGGGGATCACCATGTTTTAGGTATGTAATATTATGACCAAGTATCGCACCATTTCGTAACCTTTTATCCACCGCCGCCCATTTGACAACAATTGACGTTGATGTTTTACAAATTGCCGACAAGTTTTGTGGTGGACCAGCTGGCGCTAAAATGATACAGTATTGCACATTAATGAAACTTTCTTCATGTCTGTATTCCCTTCTGTCTACTGTAAGGTTATAGAATTTTGTCACATACCGAGAGATTCTGTATAGCACAACACTGGTTTGCTAGATGGTCCTATACCCTGACTGTTTGTAGCTGAAACAGTTACTGAGTAGATGCTGTTATGGTCTAGTTCGGTAAGTATCTTGGTTGTATTACAGATTCCGATTTCACAATACATGATCTCACTGCTGTCTAGTTTATTGTATGTAATGCGAAATGACGTAAGATTTCCTTGACTTTCGGCCGCTGACAACATGTCCCACGTAATTTTGCATGTGGTAGAGCTATCGTAGGGCAATGTTCCATTATGAGATACAACCTTTGGAGCACCCGTAGGCACTAAAACCAGGTCAATCACAAATTAGAGTTTAATATAACGATACAATGGTACATATAATCCAGAGAGTTGTCGCGAATTTGGTTTTCAGTAAAATCTGAATGGGAAAAGATTGAGTAAGCATAAATGTTACCGATTGCCAGGCCGTAGGACGCTGCCTTACAAATGGGGGAGGGGGGTCGTTTTCTTTGTAATTCGGACCTTAATTAAATGTTTAACTAAATTAGTTCAATGCACATGTTGTATAGTTTGTAAGAACTGGCTGCTAGAATGAGCAGTTCATAACAAAATACTCAAATCTCAAAAAACAGTTTATAACAAAAGAATTTTAAAAGAGAACAATAAAAAAGAGAAMAAACGGACCTTTTAAGCTTGGGGGGGTTCTTGGGTGGGGGGCAACCGGCTAAATCTTGTGCTTGTTTTTGAATCATGTTTATCTAATAAAAAATGTCTTTGGAATATAAAGGAAAAAGAAGAGAAAGAAAGGAATACAGCTCAATATACCTGGTCCTTGTGTTTTTCCTTCAATATTCACGCTTGGYCCAGTAGCTATAGTCGTGAACGAAACATTAAAAGTGTACACTGTGCCAGCTGAAAGACCACAAATGTCATGATCATAAGAGTCTTTAACCGTCGTTGTTATGTTTATAACAATTGGTTCTTGTGAAGGGCTGTCTACTGGTCTATATGATATAACAAATGTTCTTATTTTTCCGCCTACTGGTTCTTTGGGTTTCTTGAATTGAAGCTTTATACAAGTTGTGTTCATAGTAATGGCTTCGATGGTTTCTGGTTGTCCAGGCGCTG